ATATATATATTCGATCCAAAAATAAACCTGGGTTGGGTATTTTTGGGGTATTTGTTTGAAGCCAAAAATGTTCCAAAGGTTTGGGTGTTTTTCACAAATACCACAAGGCGTATTGCTTGCACTTTTAGCAGCTATTAGCACGCATTTGGGCCAAATATACCCCTTGGGGGATTTTGAAAAATATTTCAACTTTTGGGCGAATTTTGGGCCCAAACATATTTCAACCTTGGGGCATTTTGGGCTCCAAAAATACCTCAAATTATCACAAGAATACCCGTGAGTTTTGCTTCCTAAATCATCAGGCTTCCGGGCCACTTGTTGGCTCTCAATTCATCAAGGATTGGCAAAGGTTTGTAAAGGTTTGGTTGATGTGTGGGATTTCTCTAACAATCTCCAAAGAGTTGCTGTTACAGGCAATGCCTAAACCATCCTAAACCATATTGTTTGGTTGACCACGTTGACCGCTTCATTTTTTCCCACATTTTTTCCCTACCCGAGAGCATGTGCTCTTCCATGACTCATACCATACGCCGGGGGGTTCAACCAGGGGCGTGGGATGTACTCCAGAATGCCCCTGGTTTATCATAGCTTTCCCCGCAATATTGCCATAACTTGGCACCACCCGTTTGAAAACAAGACTACACCCTAAAATAATTGCTGGCTGCATCTTTGTATTCCCAGCCATCCCAAGTTCAATTTGAATAACCCAAGATGCACGGTACTGGCAATGCAATGCCATTGTTTGTCGCTTGTTGGTGGTTCATGTCCCCATGTGATCCAGATTAACCACCAGAGCGATGAATACGAGTCCACCAATATTTGAGCACGTTTGTCACTCAGATGGATACTACATAGTTACCACCAACATCCAGGAATAGATAATATTCTAGCGATAATTCGTATTGATATGTATTAATAGCCGACAATATCCCCATATATAGTTGGATAATAATGGATAATATAATTCACAACAATAACAGACATGTCCAAGGTGTTGTGGATACTATCCCCATATTCGACCACTCGTTCACTGATGGTTTAGGTTGGTGGTTTGAATACTTTGAGATTGATTCCCAATCAGATTTGGATGGTAAAGCCATATGATTTGCTTCTAGAGCCAATCCCTTAACCCAGTGAGCCATTGGTTCATCACCATAAAAAGTGGATTTCCTGATGTTTAGGAATGATTCCCGTATTAATTCCCGCATTTTTTCTTCCCTTCTTGTTGGGCGTTTTCAGAATCCATCCGCAAAACGGCGCCTTCTGTCGCCAGGTCAACGCTCTCATGAGCGACCACCTGGGTGCCTCCCGGGATCTGACGGTGGATACTGTGCAGCGGATCGAACAGTCCATGAAGCGAGCCTTGGTGAAGTTTTGGTGGTTAATAGTGGTTAATAGTGGTTAATAGGCTATAAACCAACAATGGGAATATGATGATCATTGATGATCTATACTGATTGCTGGCGACTGGAACATGACTGGATGATTTTATTCCATTTCATGATTATGGGATAGTCCATGGATAATCCATCTCCCATTGACTAATAATCTAATATTTTTCAAGATAATTTTTCAACCACCAACCAGGGTTTTATATGGTATATATCATTCATATCCCAGTATTAACCACTATTAACCATCATTAACCACTATGTAAGCTGCAAAAACATCCAACCAAAAACCGATGCTCGAGCTGGGCCTGCGCCGTTCTTCCCAGGCCTGGAGGTCAACATGACGCGAGAGTACGGAGAGCTCCGCAGTGAATTGGGGAAGGTGAAGGACTGGGCTGGTGATGTCAATACCCTCTGGTTATGTCAACAGTTTGCTATTGAAAATGACCATTTATAGTGGATTTTCCCATTCAAAATGGTGATTTTCCATAGTTATGTTAGTTTACCGGAGGGTAATCCAGATGGGTCACAAGATATCACAAGGTCAAGAACTGGACATCCTCATACATCCTCCATGCGGCATGAGATTCTAAAATGTCTAAAGCGCTGACCGACCCAGCTCTTCTCTCCATGTCCCTCCGGTTTGTTGAGATATGGGGCCCTTAAACTTCCCAAACTGGCAATTTTAGTGGGAAATGATGATCAACCAATGGAAAACCACTGGATGGGTTGCAATTTTCAGACTCGTCGGAACCCTGATGATATCAGCCACAGGAGATCGTCGTTGGAGTCTCCGCACAGGTTGACAGCGAATCGCAAGCAGTGCCTGGAATGCAAACCCCTATGACCGGCCCTATCCGGCCCTCAAACTTACAAGCCCAGCAGTAGGTAAATATGAAACGTGAATGAACACTAAATGGCCAAGTCAGGTGTGTTTTCCAACAACATTGGCACAGACCTCAACAGCAAGCCTCCTACGCCTACGCAACAATCCATGATTCCAGTTTGTATATATTTTTTAACAACTCAGGGGTCTAGGTTACCCACAGACACGCATTTTTTGTTTGCTTCCAAATTCCCAGCATTTGAAGATTCAAAATGTTCCAAAATGGAACCCCAACAAGTCCTGACATGAATGCACTCGACAGCGGGTAGGCGTCAGCAGTTTACAGGTATAGGCATAGGTTGATTAGATTATAGCAGTTTGCTGCAACACACAATTCCAGTCATGGAAGTTAGCTGCATTCAATACAATTCCACTCTGACCCCCTACAAGTTAAAGACTCCGTAAAGTAGATTGAGGTCACAAAATGTGTTCTTTCAAACTAGAGACCGAACATCAGCCGGTTCAGCATGGCTTTCCCAAGGGTTTCCCCCGACCGTTTCGTTCAGCTCGAGGTCCAAAGCCACAGCCAGCAGCAGACCTCGGACCTCGAGGGTCGCTTTCTGCAGCAGCTCAGCAGCGTGCGGTCGGAGGTGGATGCGCAGATCACGGGAAGTTCCGAGAAGTTGCTCGGTGCCTTGGGACGGCTGCAGGATGAGACCTTGAGAGGCAATGAAGGCATCACCACGAGCCTGGGCATCAATGATCAAGGGGGGTGATACATCATGAGTTATGACAATTAATTATATAATTGATATATTGATTATATATATATATATATGTGTGTGTGTTTGTGTGTCATTATATGATGTGTATTGGTTTGTTTGTTGGGCAAGTTCGCAAGAAATTGGGGAGGCACAGAAATTGAAGTGGTAGGGCTGGTAGGTTTTGGTAGCGGAGATGTCCTATGCAAGGGATCTTTACGTCTCTGTCGTCTTGATGGTTTCCTGTTTGCATGGTGCGTTCTCAAAGCTCCATGACGCTCCATGACGCTCCATGACTTGTATGTGATTCATTAAGCTTGCTTTTAGTTTCCAGATTTGTTCTGGAAATAATATTCTAATCATTTTGATTCATTTTGTATACTGTATACTCTTGGTATGTTTGGCAATCTTATGTAGCTATGGGCAATCCCAGAAGTGTAGATGACTTACCTGTTGCAAAATTGCGTTTTCCATTGCCAGGTTGCAGGAAGGCATCAACACACCTCGACTAGGCCTCCCCTGGTATACAATGCTTGTCCTATAGATCATCTTATAGATCCCTACAGTGGATTAATATCGCCGGATCATGCGTATGACGCAAAAGGTACAGATTGGGATTGGGTACGTATCCAGCTATGCCAGCAAATATCCACAGATATCCACAGTTTCATGTGTATATATAATATATGTGTATTTATATATATATATACATCACAGCCGAATACATGCCCAGGTGATGCATCCTAACGAACGGCCTGATAGATTTTCCCCGTGCATCACCAGCCCAGGGTCATCAGTATGGAGAAACAGCTGAAATCCATCGCGGACAAAATCACCACTGAAGTCTCCATCTTGCAACAGCAAGATGACCAGCACTACGTGGCTTTGCCAGTGAAATATTTATGACATATTGGAACACACAAAATTAGATCGAAAATCGACAAATGTGTTATCCAGATTGATTTCATCCCTCAATCTCTACTTTCATATGATTTCCATACTATTGATTCCCCCAGATTGATTTCATCCAGAGGATGTTCATCTTTTCGTCAGAACCTTTTGGTACAGGTGGGCCTAAACGAGTCGTTTGACATCAAGATTGCGAAGCAGGTGCAGGGAGGGATAATATGTACACAGATTATGTAGTCAATAATATTAAAACCAATATATTATATTCATGTAATGTTTGTCATGTCCTCCACAGTGTGAATAATAATGATAATGATCATAAACTTGTATATTCATATAAACCACTAGTGTATTTTTGTAATATCGTCCATAGTGGGAGGTAATGGTATTATATTTAATAGTGGTTTACTTGATTTTAACCCACCAGAACTTTGGAATGGGGAAGTGGGGATGTAAGGCATGGGAATCCCCTCCCATTGAGGTGACCTTTTCGTTCCATGTTTGATGAAAGAGATGGTGATCTTGCCCTGGTAAAGATTCGTGTTTGCAGTTTTTTGAATCCACATGTTCAATGATCAAAGCATATCAGGATCCCAATGTTTCATGCTTCATAATCAACACGTTTTATGGTTAAGATCCAACTGTTCAAAGCTAAACGTCCCCAAATTGTTGATGCTTAAAGTGCTTTAACTTCCCATTCTTCATGGTTTTCATATGTTTTCATATGTTTTCATGGGGCATTCGTATGAATTCATGAGTTTTGCCACGTTAAAAGGACTGCATTGGACAGGAGCAGCAGCTTGTGGCCCTGGTCCAGCATTCCGAGAGCACGCTCTCGCTGCCGCAGGATGTGAACCGATTGAGGCGGAAGGTGCAGCATGGCGCAGCGCGTAGCCAGCAGGATGGGGAAAGCATGGTAAAGCCAAGAATAGTGGTTACTAATGGTGAATAAGGAGATGGCGATGGAGAGAGAGAACTGGTGAATAAGGGTTTGTGATGAGGTTTGTGAAGGGTTGATAATGGTTGATAATTTACAAATGGTTGATTTTCACTAACAATTATAAACCACCCTATTGATGAACCATGACGCGGGTTCATTTTACATCACCCCAAGTCGGGGTATACCATGGTATACCTACTATATATAATAAGCCCTGGGACGGGTACTTAGGTGAGTTTAGTACGACTGAATTCTTTTGCCACTATATAAAAAATGGGGAATGTATACAAACCAGCCTAACCAGCCCCACAAAAGGTAGGCTATCTGAGATTGGGAATGGTCAATGATGGCAAGTTTTCGGAGAAGGTGCCCAGATGGATGAGATATGGCGTGCCCAGATGGGAACTAGTTGAGAATCATGGTCAGTTCATCCACTTAGATGTGATATTGTATGATAGCACAGTAAGGATTATATGCAAAACTATGATATTACATTATATGGTAATATCTTAGGACAATGTCACCTTGGATATGGTGTGATATGATAATATCTTCGAAGAATTCCAGGACTTTGGGACAAAGGTAGTGCGCAGGCCGGCCATCAGCGGGCCAACGTCCAAGTGTAAGGGATGAAGCTTTCCTCTGTTTGAATGAGCATTTGCAGAGATGTGAGGTGTACTTCAGAGCCTTTACTATTGGGGGAGGGTCCTAATACTGGTTTATTAAGGATTTATAACTTATAACGGTTAATTTAAATTATTAAGATGTTCACACCCTATTTGGAGAAAGGTCCTAAATGCTGATCCCACTGAGTTTAGGGTGTTCACTGGCCTATGGCCTCCCCCAAAGGCTCCCAGACTGTCTTTCTACTGGAAGTGCCGATCCAATGTGGGTATAACAATGCCATAAACCATCCACCAGTCATGAGACCATTCCCAGTCATGGGTGGTTTATGGCATTGTTTCACCCACCAAAAATCAACTTTAAGTCCAAAACCCTGTCATGTGCAGTGGCCTTTTTTCCCATTCAGCCATGAATTGTCCAAGATGTTTCCCTAAGTTCATCCCATCAAGCCATATGGGTGGCTGTCATAGGCTACTTTTAAAATCCATTTGGTGAATCATCATTGAATAGCCCGGCTTTCCCTAGTGTTTCATAGCCACAAATGGGGGTTAATCCATGTTATTATATGTTATTATACCCCCAATTTTAGACATCCAGGTTTCAACTCTCCCAATTTTGGCCTGTCTGTGTAGGTGAACGAAGACGTGCGCCTGGTGTTGGCTGAGATTACCCGGGTGCAGAAGGCGTTGCAGGTGGATTACCTGCCGCCCACCAAGGGCATGCGCTCAGGAGCCATGCTGCGGCTGAGGTGGAAAGAAATGGATGAAAAATGGTTCGAAAACATGCGGCAAGACATGGAAAAGCTTCAGTTTACCATTGTAATTTAATAGGAATGTACTGTAGATGTGGTTCTATAAGGTTCTATAAGGTTCTATATGTTTCTTGGTGGCTTCACAGATTCTCTCTGCCTGTGACTCGCATCAGGAAGCCGAAAGTTGAGTGACCCGCATCGAGACCCTCATCGGCGGGGCTCCAGAGACGAGACGGATAAAGACACGCAGAAAGCAGTCGCTCAATTGAGATGGGGCGAGTTCTTGCCAGAGTTTTTGGGGAACCTTAAAGTGGTTGGGAATCCGATGACGATGATGATGATGATGATGATGATGAATGACAACGACGATAATAGGAACAATGATAACAGTTTAGAAAGAGAGAGAGAGAGAAGGAGAGAGAGAGAGAGAGGAAAAAAACAAGTTATAATGATGATTATAACAGTAATAAGTATTTAATAGTAAATTTAATCTTAGTTTTCATCTCATGAAATGACCCTGATCGACCGACCATGAAATGACCATCAAATGCCCATCTAAACGCATCAAATGATCATCAAACCATTGTCAAGAATATCCACCAACATGGGTTGGTTTGAACACTTGAAAACAGACACAACTTCCCAATGGATGATCATGATTTTTTCTTTTTTTCCGAAATGGGACGAACTTGGGGCATCCAAACATGTATAAAACTATCCATAGTGGTCCATAGTATCCAAGCATCCCATCCCAACCATGGAGGCCACAGTGGCCATCGTGCAACTGGCTGAACCGCTGGACCGCGCCAAGCCGGGCTCGAACGGCTCAACGAATGGCTTGAGCTCGCAAACGAGCGCAGATGCCTGGACAATAAACATATTTTCAGCGGACCTAGTCTGAAGGCGATGGAGAGAGAGAGAGAGAGAGATATATATATATATACACTATACATATTATAGCTATTTTTATTATTATAACTACAGGTATTTGTTTTCGTTTTTTAGCACTTAAACGAGAAATGTGCCACAGGGTATCCAAGATTAGCCATGTGATTCACGTGCATGCTTTTGGGGAAGAAACATGAAAAAAACTATGGGAAGCGGAAATCCCCCTGTTTCATTGGGTTGGTTTAAGGGAGAAACCACAGGAAACCATGGATATCTGCAGTAAATCTGCAAGGTGGAAAAGTAGACTTTCCCTTCAACCATTTTCCTGCATTTGGATACTTTTGAGACCGTTCCATGAATGAGACCAACTCAACCATATATATATATATATGTATATATATATATATATTATCTACAGTATATTTGTTTTGCGTTCAGATGTGTATCTGGGGAGTCTATGTCTGATAACTCGCCAGCTTCGTCCCGAGGACTTCAAGGACTTCAAGGAGAACGTCAAGCTGCCGCCGCCGAAGACCTCGAAGTTCGCCCGCCTGGCGCAGCAGGCGAGCGCCGCCTCACGGGCCGCTGACCTTGAAGCGGATCTGTTGGACGATGCGCCCGACTCCTCGGAGCTCGGTGGGACCATGGTTGGGGCCATGGTGCCATGGTTGGGGCGGGCCGGGGCCAAGAAACATGGAAAGTCACCTCAGTTCAAGGATGTACGGATATCATGGAAAGAGTTTTTAACAGAATCAACCAAACAGTTTTTCCTATGGCCATGGCATTGTGATTTTTTCAAGGTCATGGCCCTTGAGCTTCCACACCTTCACAGACACGGGTTTGTTTGATATCTATCTTAAAACACCTGAGAATTCACCGGTTTATCATCAGTTTCCCCATCCAAGTGGCAATACATTGAGAGTAAAGACCTGATTTTTGGACTTCCAGAATCGATATGAAGATACATGAAGTTTATCTTCATTCATCAGCCCATGTTTTGCAGACTTTCACTCAGCAGAATGTGGCTCGACTGCCCAGGAGGCTGAGAAACGCTTTCGAGACTTTGGGATCCAAGCAGAGGCACCGTTGACCATTGGTCGACTTACCGATGTGAGTCCCAATATCATCAATATCCAAGAGTGATTGAATCGGGAACCTATGGACAGTACAAAATCACCATATTTTTGTTGGATGATGTTGGGTGATCAAATGACATCAAGTTGATAAGTTTGAACTACTGCCGTTTGCCGAAGCTTGAGTTCACATAAGTCCCCATTAGGCGCCAGTGGGGCCCCTTGAAAGTGGGCAGAGGCTGTCATAGCCACAACTGCTCTGTCGGCCGATTCTCCAGGCACTGACGAAAGACAATGCGTCGCAGACGGATGCATCATGGAATGAGTTGGCAATGGAAAAACTGAGACAAGAAAAGAAAAAGAAGAAGAAGGCTGCGAATACCAAAGAGGACGCGAGCTGGGGAAGATGAATGAAAACAAATCAAATGCATTTGAACATGATGGTTGTATCTTGGTTGTGGTTTCTTTATATCCGCACTGTGTGTGTTGAGTCGTGCTTACCACCTGTCACAGACCTGGCCTTGCAGCGAAAATCTCAGGAGGTGGTGAATCAGCAGAGAAGTCGTGCTGCGAACCTCACACCCATCGACAAGTTGAAGGAGAAAGCAACTGCCGCTGCCATGAAGAAGCAGTACAACGTCTTTGACTACTACAGGCACAGCAAGTGACAGTATACCCTTGGTATCCCTGGTTATTCAACATAGCCATGGAAAAAGACCCGTTTGTATATGATTTTAGGGAGAGATGATTTAACCATGATTTAAACATAGTATAGACATTGCCATTTTCCATGGCTCTGCTGGATGACCGCAGGGATATGAGGAACGAAGATATAAAGAGTGTCTTCTGTATGGCTGCGAGCAGCAGCTTCGAGATGTTGTTTTCTCCACCCTGTTTGATTTGTTCAGAGCTATTATTTCATGATCACTTTTCTTCAATTCCACCTGTTTGGACGGTTCTGGTGGACACCCTTCAAAAGAACATTGCGCGACAAAGTCCCAAAGCATGGTCCAAACATTCGAGTTTTCCATAGTTTTCCACTCATCCTTTTTTTCCGTCACAGGGACGAAGGATGTGCGCAGCGCATCGCACGGCATCCTTTCTTCGACAATCTCACCATCTTGGTGGTCATGGCCAACTCAGTGTGGCTCGGGGTGGATGCTGATCTGAACCAGGCTGGGGAACAGCGCAGGATACCCTCTGGTTATTTAACATAGCCATGGAACATAGCCCATTTATAGATGTTTTTCCCATTAAAACCTCCATTTCTAAGGGATTTTCCATGGCTATGTTAGTCATAACCAGATGGTATCATCATTATCATCCTTCTGTGGGTTGGCTAGGAGCTAGGAGCCTGAGCGCTCTGGGGATCTGGAACCGATCTGTTGGTGCTTGGTGGATGGATGGTGGCCCCTTCCATTGCTGGTCCAAGCTTCCCCATCCTAGCCAGTTGTGAGGGGGCCCGGTGCGGGAAGAGCTACAATCATTGGTGACCAGTGTGCACTCGATACAAAATATGGTTAAGAGTGTGCCTTAATTATACAGGGTTGTCCCTCAACAGCAAGGCTGCTTGGTGATTCTGCCATACTACTTGAACCTTGATGATCTTGAGGCCCCATGCTTTCCAGAGGTGTCAAGCTAAGGGAAATCCGGAAGATTTTCGCAGGAGGCAATCCTGTTCAATGCCCATCCTGCCATCATCGTTGGAGAGAACTTCTTCTGTGTGTACTTCACGCTGGAGATCATCATTCGCTTCATGGCTTTTCAGCGGAAGCTCAATGCCTTCAAGGACTTCTGGCTGCTTGGCTTGAAGGCGGCTTCAACGCAGCATGTTTTCCGAGTGGTGTGGGTAGCTGGAAGCCTGAGGAAAACTGATTACAAAGTGGATCAAAGTAGGCAGATGAATGTGCAGACGAACTATTACAAAAAGAAATAGTGCCAGCTTTGAATTCCAACCATGTTTGTGAGGGGTGGGCAGTGGGCAGGTGTTGATAAGAAATGTCATTTGCTGGGTTTAGATTGTTGTTGGGTATCCTACCAATTCCTACCATGTCAATCCATGTCATACCTCTACTTATCCTAATTGTTAGATCCTCAAATCTGACGTGGATGACCGGTCATGATCCGCACATTTTCTCGTGCGGGTCCTCGATTCATTGATGCCATATGGCCACAGGGTTCAGATTCCCATGATCACCTTTTCATGGCACAAAATCCTCAATTTTCTCAGGCTTGCTCCAAACTATTGCAGATACATGAGAGCCACAAGGGCGTAAATTGCTAAGTTGACTTTCCTCCCCCAGGTACCATTCTTGTACCTGGGGTGGGAGAGAGCAACGTGGAGCAACCTGTTTCTGCCAAGGTTCAATTTTGATTGCTTCTTGGCCATCCTAATCATCGTAGAGACCTGGGTCACACCCGTGATGTTGCTGGCGGCTGGCGGCTCTAGTGGTTTCTGAGCACTGAAGCCGGGGAGGGGCTCAGAATCACTGCGGTTTCAGCCTGGTTTCTTTGTAGATTGCTGGGCCATGTTTTGCTGATGGAAACCGGATGCTGGTGATGCTGGGCGTAAATCCAAATGTTGTTCCATCCACTGGGCTCGGAAGTTTCATGCTGTAGCCTTTGGCTTGGGATTTCAGCAGTGCATGTTCCGATGTGTACGAAAAACATTCTCCACCACATTTGACCAAAGATCCGTTGATCAACAACAAAAGAATACCCGGAACATTCCACGAATCTTCCAATGTGATTTGAGTTTCCCATATATATTTTCCCACGACTTTTCCCAAATTTCGAGGTGACTTTCCAGGTCACCTAAAGTTTTCCAAACAGTAACCCTCTGGTAATATTTAACATAACTATAGAAAATCACCATTTTCAATGGGAAAATTCACTATTTGTATGGTCATTTTCAATAGCTATGTTGACATAACCAGAGGGTACCCCTGCCAGCGCCAAGGTCTACCGGAGGGGACGGTGCTGTTGCGCCTCATCCGTTTGGTTCGCCTGGTGAGGCTCACCCGGCTCACCAGATTGTTGCCCCTTGGACGGTGAGAAGCAACAAAGATGGGTGTTTAAGCAGCAAACATTACATATTATATATACAGTGTGTATATATATATATACACATGCATAAATACATTAGATATATTATATGATACTATCTATCATACTATTATTTTTATGTTTATTTTTAGTTATTATTATATATTATATGTAATTATTATAGATTGCTGATTAACCAACAAATGGAACACGGGTTGAAGCAACAAAAATCAACAAAAGTTGGGTTTCAACTCAGCAAAACATGGCAAAGAACGCGGTGAAGCCGGCCTTAAATGGGGCGATCTTCGGCTCTAAGGCGATCCTTCCCAGAGTTGATGATCATCGTGAAAGGTTTGACCTTCGCGGCCAGATCTGTCTGTGTTTTCTCCCTGCTGTGGTTTATCATCACTTATGCCTTCGCCATTATTCTGAGACAGCTCACAGAGGCAGTGGAGTGGGGTCGAACCCAGGACTTGTTCATTGGTTCCACTTGACCTTCAAATTATCCAGGATACCTAGGCGGGTGATGGTGAGTTGGGGTCTGTAATGGTCTGTATGCGAAAGTGAGTAGCCAGGCACATCCATGCCAGGAAGCCAGGTTCACTTATCCACTTGCTTGTTAGCACTAAATGCGACTGCTTATCTCATTTCAATATACTTTGTTTCTTTTTTATTCACTATCATACTGTATTGTTGTCTCCAGCCCTTGGCTACTCCAATTCCCACCGGAGAGCTGGGCACAGGGCTCAAGTATCGGTGATGCATTTTTCAAATCAGTGCCCGAGTCCATCAACAGCTTGTGCTTCGGGCGCGAAATTTCGGGGGAGACCTGGGACATTTCGGGCCAAAAAAATCATGGAGAGATCCAGTAGCGAACCCGGCTTTCTATAGTGTTTTTTGATGTTAATTGTTTATGTGTTTGATTTCATGGGCCATGGGGGGTGAGGGGGGTTCCATGGCTATCCTATTTGAAAACATGTTCGGGGGTTGGCTTCTATATTATACAAAATGATAGTCACTTGCAGATGTAACGCCCATTGAGAGACTGAACTGTTATGAGCCGTCAAAAGGAAAGACATCTATATAATTGGAATATCCACCCAGTTCGGAAACGTGATAAACTACATGACTCATGACATGACAGAACACAACATCATATAACATATCATGATATAGCATACTGTGGCTAACATTAACATGACACAACTCAATACAACGTGATAGTCACATGACACAACATGCATAACACAACATGACATAACACAACACAGCACAACATCAGCTATAACATATTTATTGTACATGTGACAAAACACCAGATAACACAACAGAACATAACATGACATGACACAAAATAAAACAACACGCATAACACACTGCAACACAACATAAGATAACATACTGTGATTATAGCCAGCAGAGTAATTTTAGCCATGGCTACCAAGAAGCTACGAACACCTTGTCATGCCTTGCTGTTGCTTTGAAGTTGACGATCAGATGCAACATGATGCAACCAAATGCTCACCTTTGGCCAGGAACGGACTAGAAACTCAAGAGGGGGAAAATAATTCTATATTAGATTATTAGATATTCACTCTTTGGATGATCAATGATAATCACTAGAACCTATTATCAATTTTAAGATATGTTATCATATTGATTATTCATGTATACAACATACATATATATATATATATCAGTTTTATCAATTTGGAGCTGACACTCGGGCACGTCATCGAACCGGCTTCTTCCACGAAACGCATGTTCTGTGCAGGGTCTGTGCTGCTGCATCGCTTCCCCTGTGCCAACGGACGCATGCGTCCGCCCAGGTTGTTACCTGCAGTCTTCGGAGCAAATGCTGACGTGATCAACTCCATCACAGTTGCTGTTCATCCCCACATGACTTGCGTTAAACGTTTAGCCTAAACGGTAAACGTTTACAGTTTGCGAAGTGGAAAATCATCATTTTGAATAGCTAAATCAACTCTTTCTATGTGCTACTTTCAATAGCGAACTGCAACAAATTACCAGAGGGTCATATCCCATGAAAAGTGGATTACAATCCCATGAAATATCCCATGAAAAATCACCATGAAAAAGCCATCTATTTTACCCCACTAAAATAGACCAGAGGACTACTTCCCCTCTGGTCTGATGGCTGCCCCAGGTTGGGAATCCTGGGTTGTGGCCCATCATGGTCTTTTTCATGGCCTTGGTCTCAGTCACGATCATGCTCCCTGGCGCCCGCGGCCAAACAACGGTGGTTACACCGTGAAGATTCCAGCATTGAAACACTGATTATACATGCTTATACCGCAAGTCATGAAAAATGGGCATAGATTTCATAGAGAAAAACACTTTCTACTGGCTGGAATTTGGTCCATGTCCATTTTGAGAAAGCCACGGCTGGAAAGTTTTGAGTCTGTGTATGTATGAGTGCCCCGAGCTGGCATAACCCTATTTCTTTTTCCCGATTCCTTTTTCGCTCTTCATATTCCCTCATATGGTCGCAAAAATGAATGATCCAGTACTACAGCATACTGAAGCAGAATTTCTGGCGTTGTATTTGGCATTGGAGGATGGAGTGATTGGTTTGTGGCCACTGGTAACCCCCCAGTCACCTGTGTGTAGTAGTGGGTCTCTTCATTTGACATTTGAAGGTTTCCTAACATGCGGGTACCCTAAATCATCCACGTCATCAGACCATGACATGACTTAGTAATTATTCAAACAACCATGTAACCATGACTTAAGAAACCCCCATGACTGAGTCATTTATCTCATCTTTCTTGGGGACGAGATTTTCTGGGGATTCCCTTAGTTACCCTCTGGTAAACTAACATAACTATGGAAAATCACCATTTTTAATGGGAAAATCCACTATAAATGGCCATGTTCAATAGCTATGTTAAATTACCAGAGGGTATCCTGGCTGTAGGTATATGCTCCTGGGCGTTTTGGTGGATGTCATTGGAGCTGTAGCCTCCACCGAGAAGCAAAAGATCGAGATCACCTTCATTGCAGCTGGGGCAGTTACCCTCTGGTAATTTAACATAGCTATGGAAAATCACCATTTTTAATGGGAAAATCCACTCTAAATGGCCATTTTCAATAGCTATGTTAGTTTACCAGAGGGTACCCAACCATTCCTCCAAAGATGGGGCCCAATACATGGCGATATCATGGCGATCTTGGTGGAGAATATGATTATGAACCATTGGGAGTTTGGTGGTTTACACAAAACGATCATACAAACTGACTTTTCATACGGATACAGCAATCCTTGATTTTTTTTGTGCTGCCCCAGTGTCCCAACACATGGATGAGCAGAAATAGCCTTAGTTGAATTGGTGGGTGCATGTTTTAAAATGTGTTATCATATATATATATATACGCATTTGTCATCACTCATCATATGTATGTGTATGCATATGCATATACATACAACATATATGTCAAGATTTGGGGCAGTTCCAACCTCTTATGTGGTGAGTGTTGCTAAAATCATTCTTAGATTCATCCGAGGTGGGACAGCTTAGGGAAGAGCTTGAGAAGCTGAACATCATCCCGGAGGCTATGGAGCTGAACCAGGTGCCATGGCCAATGCTCCACAAGTTCCTAATGCTCCACATATAACATACATATAGCAGCTACAATATATATTTACATATATATTTACCTCATTTTACCCACATTGGTTTCGTAAGCATATCTTAAATGTTGTTCTAAACGTTCCATGAGGCACAGAAGAAAACTACATCCACCGTGCAGGTTGACTTTCAGAAGCTCGTCCTGGAGCCGGGGATTGTCCGTGTCATGCACGAGTCCGGCGTGAACGTGGCTCGCTGACACCGCATCCCCCAAAGGTGACCCCACCAACGAATAGCTGGTTCATAACCATCTATTAACCATGGTATATAAACATTGGTTAATAGCTGCTGAATAGTTGGTTGATAGTTTTTCTTAGTCATTTTTCATAGTGAATAGATGTTATTTTCAAGCTCCAAGAAAAATGTTTCATCCCCAATTCCAACAGGATCAATCCCAGGGAGATTTGCTCCTAACTGGCTTCTTTGGGTTTACCAACGGGCTCTGTATACAGCAAGTTACTTTGTTCAGTCAGTGAGGTTGCCATGAAAGTGAGGAAGTGAAGTGATATGATGTTTATGGAATTGTAATGCTCTTGCTGCTAGTGTTTCGAATGTTTCGCTTCCAACCTTGAGGGTTGATTGAATAATCAAGTGCAATGGGTTCATCTCCAGCCATTCAATGTACAACTGTTTCAGGGTCCAGATTGATGGATGCCCTTTTTTCCGCATGTTTGAACAGTTTCAATTCTCTGACGGTGAGGTAGAGGTGTTGGCCGAAATGTTGGACCTAGTCTGGGAAGATGCTGCTGCTCGGTCGGGGGCGGGATGGTGTGGGCAGTTACGGCATGGAAGCAGCAAAAATTGGACCCGGATATTGATTATATTATACATATATATATATTGTCAAAGGGAACTCAGCGGTACCACACATATATCATGTGGTATGTAAATAGCATTTGCATGGGACGCCATTTTGGCTCAAGCGCCCATTGTGAGGAAAACAGTTGCGCACCGTGTGCCATGTCTTGAGGGGGCTCGGCAACATCCAGCACAACAGGTACGATCAATTGAAACGATATCCAGGACAAGGATCTATTTGTTCACAGGTTATCAGCCGTAAGGGCTCACTTCTTCCGTCGGAAGAGGAGTACCTGCGTGCTGGTAGCCGGGCCGTCTGAGCTAAAGATTGTGAACGTAAAGGACCAATCAGCTCATCGTCGCAAAGATGCAGGGCGGCAGTGAAGACTCGCGCAACACGCAGTTTACCTTCAATGAGAACACTGCTATGCCGGTCGAGGAGGTCACTCAATCTTCCCCTGGCGACACGGCAGACAGTGGTGGAATACGCTCTACCCGAACTACACAGTCCGGATGGCAAGTTACATCAAACAGACGAAGAATATCCACCCAAAGTACACCAAGATCTTCTCGAAACAGTGCTCGAAGTGATGTTGTCCGTCAAGGGCATCGACCATCTCGAGGACGAACTACCCCAAGGGACAGATCCACCAGGGCCGTAACCGACCGAATTGGTGAGAGGACCGGGGACAGTCGTGTTAAGAGGAGATCAACAGATACTTCTGTGGCTAGTGAACCTATTGCTATGATAGAAGAACTACGGGCACAATGTCAATCCTTACGTAATCAGTTGAACAACATGGAAGCATATGCTGCATCAAGAGATCAACTGATTCATGACATCGAGATCAGATTCACTGAATATCTTCAGGAACACAATCAGAACGTGTTAGATGAGGTCAATGCACTCAATCATAGATTGTCATGTTCCGCAAACGAGGTTGCAGAATATCAAGCAGAGCTAATGGTAGCATCTCAGGAAGACGAAGGTGCAACAATACGCATCCAAGACCTTGAACGCCGAGGTGCCCTGATGGAACATGGTGCAAGACGAATCCATCAACGCGGTATGGAGATCCAGGAAGAGTACAAGGATGAAGTACATCACCTTCAAGGACTATTGGGTAATACGGAGGCAAGATTGCAACAACTTCATCAGACCAATGTCTTAACTACCGATATTGCCAACCGATTGTACACTGAAGGTCAAGAAATGCAGACGGATTTCCAGAACTCAATCGTGGAATATCGTAACCGATCCGAGATGGCATCCTTCTCAAGTAATCAACTTGAAATGATTAGCCAACAACAATCAATTGCAGTTCATGAATTGTCTGAACGGAATCAGCTATTGAGTGAAGCTCTCGTTCAGTCTCGTAAACAGGCCGAGTTGTATGAAAGCAGTATTGAGGAGATCACTAGAGAATCTAGAAAGAAGGTTTTCGAGGCAAATCAGGCCAAATTGGAAAGTGATCTGAAGCACCGAAACACTGAACATGACACTGTCAGAAGAATTGCATCATACAGGAATCATGAGGCCGAAGCGATATCACACCTGAGGCTTGAATCACAGGCTAGTGCAAATTCGATCGCAAGGGCAGAGCACTATGAAGAGCTCTATGCCAACGAGCAGGAGATGAACTGTGAGTTGAAGGATGAGATCAAAAAGCAGAACGTGAAGTTGCGAAAGTCATTGGCTCAGGGCACTACGACCGACGGTCGTGGCCCTGATGAGATGCTTGTTGAAGACCTACGAAACCAAGCCAAAATAGCTCAAATCAGAGTTCAGGATCTAGACCATGAAGTTCATGAATGTTTACAGGAGAACATGTTGTTAAAAGAAAGATTGACTGAAGTTGCGGATGTAGGGGCGTCGTCCTTCTCCAACGCTGAAGTCCGAACTTTAAGATCTGAACTAGAAAGTGAGCGCAAAATGAAATTGGCTAGTGGTGTTCAACAATATGAGAGACCATGCATGTTCATGGGGGAAATTCAGGATAGGGATGAAAAGATTGGTATCAAGAATTCTGAGATTATTGACATGAAACGTCACTTAGATGAACTGAGAAAGAGTCTCAAGGATTCTGAAACATCTATGTCTAGGGTCAGCCCTGATACACTTCCCTATTCGGCAGGCGTCCCCAACTATGATCTCGCATCAAGACTGGTCATTGACAAACTGGAGAATGAGGTGAGTGAGGCTAACTCTGAGAACGCTATCCTAAAATCTTGGGTATCGCAGATCGACAAGGAGTTGACCTATGAGACAAATATGGCTCATTCCTATCGCGGACATGCTGGACCTTCTCAACAGCAACCTTCTCAATTGAACAAAAGAATCACCGATCTGCTGAAAGAAGTTGACAACAAGATCGCCGATGGAACTGAGAAGGACTATTACAAGCCTCCGAGCGGATGGGGCGGTCCGCCTGACCCTAATGGACCTCCTGACCCTTTCGGGCCCAACGGTCCAGGACCACCTCCAGAACCTCCTGGTTTGCCTTCAGTTCGAGGATCACAACGTGATTCAGCAGATGACGTCTCCACAGCGGCTTACACGGCAGAAGAAGTACCGAGAATGTCAAGACGGGAGGCTGACAAAGTCTATGTTAGCCCATGGCCGAAGCAACAGAATCTTGGGGTTTGGCAATCAGATCTTATCAAGAGTGTTGTTCTTGCTGCGAATGATGGAGACAAAGCCGCGTGGGAAGCATGGTTACAGCCGGCTATAAGACCAAATCCTGACATTGAGCTACTGAATGACAGTGGTGGGCAACGATACCAGTCAATCGACGCCAAGTTGTCAATTGCATTGTCAAACGTTATAGCCCAAGCCGGTGATGTTGCTCGTCATGTGGCAATTAAACTGAGATTGAGAACGCAGAGTCATAGTCGAAGAGGAACCTATGCTATGGGACGAGAAATCTTGGCTATGATCCTGGAACACTTCAGAACCCCAGGTCAACGAGAGACAGCCTTCACCATGGAGCACATCGTGTCGATGAAGTATCTCGGTGACTCAAACCTGGAAGTGTTCTACGAGAAATGGATGGAGATGGTATCAAACATGATGCCGGATGATGTACCTCCTGACGATTGGCTTCGTGACGCTCTATACAAGAAGATTCGAAATTCGAGTCTTATGATGTTTGATATCAAGCAGTACAAGTCATGGATTGAAGGAGATCAAAGACGGAGCTATCGCTACCTGTTGGACGTCATCGAAAGACACATCTCTAGAATTAGAGAAGACAAGCATGTGGCCGCCAGGGAGAAGTACGCAAGAGATTTTGCAGGTGGTGGCAAGCCCACTGCTCCTGCCCCAAATCCAACTGCTGCTGCACCAGATGCCAATCCGAAAGCGAAGCCTAAAGCCACTCCCAAGGAGAAAGCAGCACCGAAGGCAAAGGCCAAGGCTGATGCAGCTCCAGTTCTACCATCACCTCAACCAAAACAGCATGCAAAAGGAAAGGGAAAAGGTCAAGGGAAAGGAAACGGTCGACCAAACAGCCGAAGTGCTAGTCCCAGATCCAAGAAGAAGATCCCTTGCCACTTCCATTTCATCAAGAAAGCATGCAGAAAAGGCAAAGATTGTGAATACAGTCACGACCAAAAGGTGTTCGATGCGAACAAGAACGCGAAAGGTAATGGTCGAAAGCCAGGAACTCCTAGAAGTCAATCTCCAGCAAATAAGACCAAGAAGGTTGATGAGCCATGCTGGCACTGGGCTAAGGGCAAGTGCCGATATGGAGATAAATGCAACAAACGTCATGATCCTCATCTATTCAACACTGCTCCGAACACCGAAGCACCAAGCTCAAAGGCTACTCCTGCAGTTGTCCATGATTGGAGTGATGACGAAGGGACATTCCATAAGGTCGCATCGAATGTCGTCAAGAAGAAGGTCAGATTCGATGAATCCAAGACTTGCATCCAAACGTATGTGAAGAAGGACTTCGTGAAGTGCAGCCGGAAATCCCAGACCATCCCCAAAGGCCATGGTAAAGTTGGTAAGCCTACTGATCAAATAAGGCAAGATGAGCAATGGTCTTATTCATGCAGACTAGCATCGAGCCGAGGGAAGGCAATGGCTATCCTGATCGATGAGAAGGGTGAGTACAGTGACATTGATGAAGTCCTGGTCATCGTCGGCCCCAGCCTGGACATTCTGATCAGACTCGACATCGAGGACGGTGAGGTGTCCAGGGAAGTCTTTGTGGAGAACTATGTTCAGCACATCGAGGGTCGATATGGTAAAAGGGGCAACACAATGTGCATTACTGTTCCCGTTGAGGAAAGAGATAAGAGATTCATATTGGATTCTGGAAGTGGTCATGACCTTATCTCATCCACACGAATAAGTAGAATGGATCTCCCAACATATGATGATAAAGTCGTCAACTTCCATACAGCAAACGGGGTAACATGTTCGACCAAACGTTCAAGTATCAAGTTCGAGGCATTCAACGAACCAGCCGAAGCTCACATCCTGGAAGAAACTCCTTCTGTGATCTCCATGGGTAAGCGGTGTGTCGACCTTGGTTACTCATTCGTATGGCCAACTGGGAGAACTCCTTTCATGTTAGATCCCAATGGCAACATCATCGAAATGACTGTCAAAGACTATATTCCTTATGTGAGTGTCGATCAAGAGAAGAGAAAGCTAAGATCATCCTGCGTGGAAAAGATCATGGCAGTTCTTGATGACGGATGCTCAACCTCAGAGGGCGAAGGTCTTTTGGTCATTGATGGAGAAAGTGGGGACGAGCTTGAGGATCTTTCCAACGCCGTTGGACGATCCGATGTTAAATCTCCCAAGAAATCAATGAAGAAACGTAAGAGAGCAAGGTTGAGATATGGTCAACATGAAGTAGCTGTTGGAAGTGATGCGGGCGATGCTGAGGAAATGTCGTGCTATGCCGATGACTATGCCGAATTTGAAGATGA